TACTGCTTTTACTGGCAATTATACCAACACTCTTGATTCTGGCTTAGGTTCCCTGCTTTTCCCTCAATCATTGCTTATTAGATCTTACTTGTTTTAAAATTCTACCCTCAAGTGATAGATAATAGGAAACAGGGAGAAAGATATTTTAAAAATGGGAAGAATACCAAGACATAGAGGGAAGGAGGTGGAGGAGAAGGGGGCAGAAAAAGAATTAAGGTATGCTACACTCATTGCCTTAGTTATGTTTCTCACTACTGAGACAAAACATACAATACCCACAAATGAAGGAAAGGTTTATTTAGCTCAGTCTTTTTTTAATTGTGTGTGTGTGTGTGTGTGTGTGTGTGTGTGGCCAGCTCAGCCCACCAGGGGGCGGGGCTGGCTGGCATGTGGTGCTGGGGGATTGAACCGCGGTCCCTGTGCTTTGCTAAGCTTGTTCTAAGTAGGTGCTTTCCACTGAGCCATCTCACCAGCCCCTAAGCTTGTTCTAAGTAGATGCTTTAGACCACTGAGCCATCTCACTAGCCCCTAGCTCATAGTCTTATAGAAGCTTCAGTTCATAGTTGGCTGGGTACAAGTCAGGGTGACATGACAGAGAAAAAAACAGCTCCAGGTGGGTAGGAGGCAGGAATGCAGCAAAGAAGTGAGCAGCAAGCAGACATATCAACCCCCTTTGTGTCACTTGCATTCTATCCAAGGCACCTGCCTTATGGTGAGTGGCACTCACAGCCAGGGAGGGCCTTCCTAATACCCATTTCAAAAACTATGCCAAACCAGTAGATGGTCTGATTCAGTAAACTTACATGCTTGATCCCCGCATCACACACTCTTGAACCAGCCACCTCTAAACAGTCCCACTTATGACTGCAGGATTTGGGTAGACACATTAGAAACTGAGCTGTACAGGGTTAAATTGCTTAACACAGGGCTGTTTTGGAAAAGGGCATATACATAGTGCTCTGAGGTCAAGATAAATACCACATCTGAGGCAGTCAAGGATATGGGCTGCTGATTTCCACTATCCCAAAGCAATAAAGCTACCAGTCTTACAGATCAAACGAAGTAACTTACTGTTTGGAAAAGTCATTCAACTGACCCCCAAAGTCCTCCTCAGTTTCTGTGCTTGCCTTAGTATCCTCTTTTTTTGCTTCAAAACAAAACAAACAAAAACTTAAAAAAAAAATAAAAATAAATATAGGCTATCTAGTGAGCTCTTTTGTCTTTAGAGTTCTGACCATCCTGAAAGCCCCGCCAAATCACACTATTGGTCTCTTTTATTTAAGCCATTCACCATGGTTTAGGAGACCTCTCATTTGGTCTCATTAAATGTAGAGGCCAAGATTTCAATATGGACATCCAGACATAAGGCATAACATTCCTCCTGACTCCCCAAAGACTCATGCACATCCCCTTATCCAAAAGGTATTTAGTCCATCTCCATGAGCTGCCAAAGTCTTATCAGTTGAAGCACTGCTGAAAAGTCCAAGTTTAGTCTCCTCTGAGACTTAAGGCAAACTCTTAGCTATAAGCCCTGGTTTAAAAAAAAAAAAAAAAAAAAGTAAGTTTGGCACTTCTAACATACAATGGTGTGATAGACATTTCCAATCCAAAACGTACAAAGAGGGACAGAAATGAGAACGAAGCAAGACCCAAATCCAACAGGGCAAACATTAAACCTTATAGCTCCATGTCTAGCATCCCTGGCAATCTGTGAACTCCAAAGGGCAACTTGGGTGGCTCCAGCCTTAAGGCATTTCTGGTGGTTGTAGCCCCTATCACTACTCTATTTGGCTGGTTTCCCTCCTCACAGCTTTCCTCAGTCAATCCATGTTGCTGGCCTCTTCAACCTTCTGGGTTCCCCAGCACACCTTCAGCCTCACACTCACCATTTTACACACTGCATTGCCTGGCCTCTAAGGCCACCTTCTGAAATCTGGGTGGGAGCCTTCCTTCCTAACCCTACAACTCTTGTACACTGCATGCACCTAAGACAAGCACCTGAATGATGCCAAAGTTCAGGCTTCCTTCTCTCTTAGTTCACAAGGGTCAAATACCTGGATTTCTAAATACTTTATGCTTTAGGGAGTATATGAAGCTTTAGGGTGGCATCAAGTCACAACATATGTGTATCAACTCCTCCAATGGACGAATCATTATGTATAACAGAAACAAATTTGATAAAATCGATCTCTCATCTGGTCTTGTTAAATGTAGACAGCAAAGGATGATGTTCTACCATGGTACACATGGGTGGGAAGTACCAAAACTCCTGCTAGGGGTATCAGTCTAAAAGTTTATAATTACCAAAACCCTTGCTGAAAAGTCTATCCACTCAGCAATATGGCACACAGATGCAAAAGACAGACAAAGAAAAAAAATTCTGTAGCTGAGGAAGCTCTGGGATAAACCAATGGTCTTGGTGGAACAAAAGGCCTCATCTCCAAAGGTCATGATTTTTATTGCTATCAAACAGGGAGATAGTGGCAGAATATGTAGGAAAAAGAAACTTTGTAGCCATACCATGCATAAAGGCCTTCAATTAGCAGATTCTTTATTGCCAGAAAGATATAATTCTTTCTGAGTCCCATGGCCTCAAGTAAGATATTATCTCATGTCTTAGCCATCAAATCTTACAGGCTCTTGCTCAAGCCTCTGTTCTAGCCATCAAATTGAAGGTTATTCTCACCTATGTGTTGCCATCTTGCTATTAATGAGACCACTGGTGTCTTGGCTGAATTCAGTAACATCCTTTAAGCCAATTAGGGGAATCTCTGTTTCGATATAGTCAGCTCTACCTACCTCAGTGACTACAGTTAAAGGAGAGGTCAGGAACAGATTATAGCAAGGGCTGCATTTCTCACAAGAGAACACCATGATGGTCTACAAAAAGGGATAGATTTAACAATGGCCTTTCCATGTTTACTTATTTTTAATTTTTTTGTTTTGTTTTGTTTTTTGAGATAGGGTCTTCCTAAATAGTTTAGGCTGCCTTGAACTATATAGTCCAGGCTGGCCTTGAACTCATGATAATCTTGCAACAGCTTCCCAATTTTAGGCATGCACCATCATACCTGGTAACAACAGTCCTTTTTTTTTTTTTTTTTTAAATCTCTTATTTAGGGGGGCTGGAGAGATGGCACAAGGGTCTGAGTTCAATCCCTGTTTCCACAAAAAAAAAAAAAAAAAAAAAATTGTTCATTAAAAAAAAAAAAATCTCTTATTTATTTGGTATAGGGTCTAACTTCTCAGCTCAGACTTGTAGTGATCCTCTTGTCTCAGCCTCCAAAATGCTGAGATTACAGGCATGTGCTACCACACCCAGTTTCTGTGGCCAGCATGGTATGCCCAGGATTCCAGTGCTGAAACAATATGTGGTATTGGGGATCGAACCTGGGTCGTTGGGCTTGCCAGGCAGGCACTTAAACCACTGAGCTATCTCCCCAGCCTACAACAGTCTTTTTAGAAAAACAGAATAGTAACTAAGAACAGATTCTACTAAAAGTTCTGGAATATAAATTTTTCTATAAATTAAACATTTTTTTAGAAATAAAGGCTGCATCTAAATTTTGCATTAAGTGGTCATTACTGAATCTAAAATAGTAGCTATTTAATTATAAATTCAGCATAATGTAATTGAAAAACAAAGATATATCCCATGTTTGTGTGTGCAGGTATGTGTGGTGCTTGCTGGTCATCAAACCTAGGGATTCACATATGTTAGGCAAGCACTATAACTCTAAGATGTACCTGAGCTCCATTATCTGTAACATGAAAATTACAAATGAAATTTACTAGTGTTAAAATAACCTATTTGCAAACAACTGCAATTTTCTTCCATTCGTATTTGGCATTTTTCCTATAGTTGTCAAAAACAAACATAAAAAATAAGAATGCTTCATAAGTAGTGTACCCAAAAAAAATTTGAACTAAAGTACAGGGCTATTGGAGATGGGAGCTATTGTAGCTCTGTACTAGAGCAACAGCCTAGCATATATGAGGGCCTGGGTTTCATTCACCCAATGCCAAAATCAGAAAACAAACTAAAGGGGCTGGGGAGATGGCTCAGTAGAATAAGTGCTTGCTTGGCAAGGGCCTGAGTTCAATCCCCAGTTCCGCCAAAAAAAGAAAACAAACTAAAAAGGAAACAGTGTTATCAATAAATAAAAGTAATAGCTTTCCCAGTGTTGAGACAAAATGCCAGACACCCACAACTTAAGGGAAAAGTTTAATGTGGCTCAGAGTTTCAGAAGACTCCGTCTACGGTTGACTGGCTCCAAGGCACAGACAACAGCATGGAAGAGGTTGGTGAGGCAGAGATGTTTTGTTCACAGTGGTAGGTTAGCAGAACAAGGGAACAATGCCAGAGAGGAAGGGGCCAGGAACTAGAAGACTCGCAAGGCCTCACCTCTATGAACATTCAGATGATACTCAAAAGTGTACTCCACCTATCTCCCAATGGCATGCAACTGAAGTGACACTCTTTCCTAATAACCACAGTATATAAAACAGTACACAATTGTATTTTGAAAGATACCACTTAAAATATTTCTGAGATAACCCTAATATGTCTTTGCTTACTAATGAGATGAAACATTTTAAAAAAAATAATTGGGGAGCCTGGCATGGTGGCACAGGTCTGTAATCCCAATCCCAGCATTGGGGAGGCTGAGGCAAGAGGATTGTTGCAAAGTCAAGACCAGCCTGGGCTACAAAGTGAGCTCAAAACAAAAACAAACAAAAAGCCTTGTGTAAACCCCTGAATGAACACTGCTATATGAGGAGGCAAAAGATAAATGTAGGACTACTCAATTACTCAAACTTAATAAAAATGATTAAAACAGCCAGAAGACAAAATAACCCAAGAAATGAAATTATAATAAATCCTCTTTATTGCTCTTTAAAGTGATTTATTAAAACTACAAAAAAAATTAGGATTGTTTCTTTTATGAATATTCAGAAAACATGATTTTTGAACTTGTATAAGATATAATTTCAAGAATATTCATTTTAGAGATCAAACTAAGAAAAAGATAAAAATAATGGCTTACAAAATGATAAAAAATTAAAATTAGAAAATTAAGTTCCCTACTGAAAGTATCAATTAGTGCAAATAAGTATAAGTGCATTTCATACATTAAGAAAATCTAAGATATAAAAGTTAAACTTAAAGTAACAATAAGCATTTACATTATAAAATGGTACTTGGTTTATAAAAAGATCCACCCTGTGTTTTCCAAATTGTCATTTTCTTCAGTCTACTTAACAAAACTTTTAAATATATACAATTTTAACTTCTCTTTGAGACAGTGATCCAGGCTTCCTCCTTTGTGGAGGTAACCAGTTCATACTTTGTTTCCACAACCTGACCCTCTACAGGAAGGAGGTAGAGTCTTCTTACCAACACACTCAGAAGGACTGTGGCCACCATATATGCAAATCTAGGAGGGAAGAAAGCTGATCAGTTACTAAAGATTAAAAATTGTACTTTCATTATATATACTGTTCACTCTCATCATCAGTAATTTAATAACCCATGTTCTAAGTCTAGGATCTCTTCTTTTCATGCAATTTTCTCTATTAGTCACCTCAACTCTGGACATTCCTGTGTGCCTGAAAATCCAAGCAAGGAGAACGTTTTCATTACTGAGTCATCATCAAAGCGATCGGGATCAAATCTGAAAAGAAAATGTGGGGTTGATCACAATATAGCTCCACTGGTACTTTATATATTGACATAAGCCACAGCTATGAAATAAAGTTTAAAATCTATTCAAAATAAAAAGTAGTCACTTCATTTTTTTAAGTTCCCAAATGACTGAAAATATGTACATTTACTCTTACTTTTTTCTTTCCTTATTTCTTTTATTTTGGTACCAGAAATCAAACTCAGGACCCTGCACTTGCCAGGCAGGCGCTGTGCTGCTGAGCTATATCCTGGATCTCTTTCCTTATTTCTAAACAATAGATGCAAAATACATTTCTCAGATCTGACAAAGAATGAGGGTATAATAAGTCTATGTTATTTTGTAAAATGGATAAATCACATAATGAATAAATTTAAAAACTGTTTCATGAGACCATGTGATCAATATGTGAGGCATTTTTACAGTTTCTTCAATTAAAATTTATTTCTTAAAATTAAAGGCTTCAGCCGTAAACTTCTATTTATCAATTACATTAAACCCATGTTTACTAATAAGCAAGGGAAAGGAAAGAGGCTAAAAAGATTTTCCTGTTCAGAATTTCCTAAAAAGTCATGATGGGAGTAGCTAGCTATATTAAAAACAAAATAACTCACCTGGCAAGGAACACGATTCCTTTCAAATACAAATTTTTTAAAAGACCTAAACTCTAAGTTAAAGATGAGAGAGAGACAGAGAAATTATGATTTTATTTTCTTAAAACAATTTGAACTGCTTTTCACATCTGAAATATACTATACTTAAAATATAGTATATATAAAAATAATAACAATCTTCCCTTTCAAATGACCATGAAAAATTGAGGTCCTAAACATTTATCTGAAGATAACTATGTATTTTCAGACTTAAGTCAAACTTAATTTTTTCATTTGATATAAAACATTTCACATAGTTATTGAATTGCGTTTTGTTCTGTTTTGTTTTGCAGCACCAGGGATTGAACTCTGGACCTTGTATTTGCCAGGCAGGTACTTAGGCCACTGAGCCAACTCCCTGGCCCTGCATTGCTTTTTGAAGTCTTTTTGGAGCTAGGGTCTTACTAAGTTATTAAGAATGGCCTTGGACTTCTTATTACCTCCCAAACAATGAGATTACGGGCATGCATCACATGCCCAACTTAATTTTTTTCTGAGAAGCTGTAAATGACACTGCACATCTTAAACATTAAACTAAAAGCAAAATAAGCACAAAAAGTTTTAAACTGATTATTTAATCTCATATATTGAGGAGACTTTGATTTGGCCATCTTTTTGAATTAATGGTTCTTGGCCTAGTTTTTTTTTTTCTTCTTTGTTTGTTTTTGTGGAACTGGGGATTGAACTCAGGCCCTTGCGTTTGCCAGGTAAGCACTTATTCCACTGAGCCATCTCCCTGGCCTCTCTTGGCCTAGTTTTTAAAGCTGATATATTTCATCATTCAGATAGAATATTTACTTTATTATCCACTCCACTCACACAATTTGACTGAGGTCACTGCTTTGTTATACTGCCAATATAGTAATATAATATTAAACTTTTAGTTTTCAGGAGTTTTCTTGAAGGGCTTGTGTGTTTTTGAGACAGGGTCTCACTCTGTGGTTCAGGCTAATTTTAAGATCATCATGATCCTCCTGTCTCAGCCTCCTAAAAAGTGCTGGGATTACAGGCATGAGGCATCAAGCCCAGCTCAGTGCTGGACTTCTATGTACTTCTTCATACATGCAAGTTACATCTAAATACTTTTTTATAGAGAGAATAAGTTTAAAATCAGTATGTCATTCAAAAATGAAACTCATTAAAACCATAATGAAATTCATTATATATTTAATAAAACAAAAATATATACTTTATTTATTTTTTTGTGGAAACGGGGATTGAACTCACACCCTTGTGCTTGCCAGGATAGCGCTTAGTCCACTGAGCCATCTCCCCAGCTATTTATATTTATTTTGAAAATTCAAACATTCACCATATTTTTCAACTCCATGCCACTATGTAGCCCAGGCTGGCCTTTAATCTGTGGTCCTCCCAACTCA